TGCCTCAAAAGCTGAAACTACAACACCCCCGTGGTCCCTAACCACTGCTCCAATCCACATCTTATTGTCCCTCACCTCTGCTTCTGTATTTAGTTTCAGCCCATTCCCAGCAGGACCCTGCCATTCTGCCTTCCGCTGTCTACCATCAGGTCCCCTGGAGTTCTGGTCTTCTCCACTGCTGTCTATCAGCCCCGAATCACGCTTCTTTCATCCATGCACCACCACTATCAAACATATTGTTATCAAGATTTGGAGAAAGAAAATCCTACTTGATAAAACAACCTAAAGATGACAATAAATTAATAAACAGTAAGAAATTAATCTTATGATCCTAGTGATGCACTCTTTCATTAAAAATAATTTTTGGAACCTACGTAACTTTTCGTTTAACAATAAATGGCCTTACAGATTACATTCTGATCTTATTTCTTTCATCGTGCTAATCATCATTCTTTCTTTTTTCAATCGAGACATACAATAAGGAAAATTTTAACCGTTAAATTAGTATAAAGCATGAGATCCCCAATAACGGTTTCCATCCAAAAAATGTCAATTAACCCAAAAGTTTGTCATTGACAAAAAATGACCAATTTAAAGAAGAGCAAAATGAACTTTCCATATTATCACATTTTAAATAACTAAAATGATTAAAAAAGAGAAAAAAGTAAGAAAAGATTAAAAAACTGAAAGCAAAAATATTAAAATAAAAGTGTTTAATCTCTCAACCTACTCCCACCCCTAACCACCAGAGCTGCCATCTCCTCCTCCTCCACCACCACCACCACCATTAGCCTGCCCTACCTGACCCACCCTGCTATTGCCACCATCCACCCGTCCTTGCAATTGGCAAAATCACTAATTTCGGGACTGCAAAAGGAGGAGAAATCCCCCTGGTTTTCACGAAACTACCACAACAGTGATTTGGCGGATGTACCAGGAGGGAGATTTCTTCCTAGTCTCACGGAACCTTGAAGAAATCTTCTCATGGTACAATCGCAAAACCACCACATTGTTTTTTTGGTTGCATGAGGGGGATTTCCTCCATAGTCTTTCCTCAACTACAATAGCGCGCTGCACCAGAGGGGGAATTCCTATCCCCTGGTGAGTTCACAAAGCTCACATTCATCACATCTTCTTTTTTATTTTTCCCTTTGAATTACCGGTAGTACCTATCAAAAACCATCTTCCAAAACAACAAAAAAAAATATATATTTAATATTGTGTAACATTTTTTCCAAACATTCAATAACAAATATATTCACCATTGGTTCCTCATCCCAAATTATTA